AGGAGAAAGCATAGGACTAAATTTTCATTATCTTCAATTTAACACAGAATCTTAGATATGACACCAAAAGCATGAGAAACAACAACAAAAAATAAGAATACATCATCAAAAGTAAAAACTGCTTCAAAGAACACTATCAAAAAGTGAAAACAGCTCTGAATGGAAAAAATAATTATACATATCTGAATCTGATGAAGGATGTGTTACTAGAGTATGTGAAGAATTCTTATGCTCTATAGTAAGGAGATAACCGAATTTAATAGGGACAAAGATCTGTGTAGACATTTCCCCAAAGATTATGCTGATGGCTGGTGAACACATAAAAAAATGTCCTACATCAAGATCACCAGGGAAATGCAAATTAGAACTGCAATCTACCATTTCAGGTACACTAGTATGGCTAAAATCAAATACTTCATAACAAGGATTGACACGATGTGGATAAAGATATCTTAAGATATATGAATTCAAGTTAGCAGGTGAAGAAAAGTTTTTAAAAGGTGACCAGAATTTTATTTTCATTCTCTTTGTGCTTAGGAATGTTTTACATGTACTTACTGGGGGGCGGGGTGTGACCAATGAATCTGCAGTAATTGAGACATGAATACTCCTTAATTTCCAACAAAATCTACAGGAGCCTGCTAGACTGATAATAGAGTAATACATTCTCGTTAGGAATGACTGAAATTATTTCAAATGTATCAGTTGGGGTCCCTTTAGTATGTAGACCAGTTCCCTGCAGCAATGTTAGAGAATTAATTTTTTGGATTAATTTTTAGATAATGAATTCATGAGAATTGTGAGTTAATCTTTCGGAGGGGCAGATACGATATTATGGTTCTTAAAGTAGTGATTTATACTAACCCTGAATTCAGATCTCAGGCTTATGATTTACATAATTACTAGCTGGAAAATTTTTCATCTTTTTTACTTATCTAAGAAAATATTCCCATGTCATTGATTATTTTTTGAATGACCAGTTGTAATGACATTCCACTGATTGGTAGATTTTATTCACCACCCCCCAAATAACAGGAATTTTAAGTTGCTTAAAGGCATTTATTAGTATAATAATGCCAAGCCAAGCCTCCTGTAATCACAATACTCTGAGAGGCTGAAGGAAGAAGATCCCAAGTTTGAGCCCACATTGGGCAACTTAGTAAGACTCTGTCTTAAAATATTTTTTAAAAAGGGATGGGGATGTAGCTCACTATGAGGCTCTGGGTTCAAGCTCCAGTACCAGGAAAAAAAATTCCCAATAATATACTAAGTCATGGCCTCCACCGACCTTTCATTTGTGTCAGCTGGTCCTGCATTTCTCCATTTCATTCACAGCCAAGTTTCCTGTTTCAGTCATTCATCAAACCATTCCAGTCCAATTCCATTCCTACTGCTCCCCAGGCAAAAAAGTTTGTTAATGTCACTATTTTCAAACCAGGCGGCCACTTTATGTCCTCATCTTTCTTGGATTTGTAGTAGCCTTAGGCCCATTTGAGAACCCCTTCCTGAATCACCTGTTGAGTTTTCTTTTGAGCTTTTCTGACCCCAGTGTTTTCTTTCTCTCTTCCTGGCTACTCCTCAATTATTTTTGCTGCTTTCTTATACCTGCACTCTGAGCTTTGGAATTTCTCACCAATTTATTCAAGGCTGCTCCTGAGATTTAAACTATTATCAATAAATTAATGATGTGCAAATATTTTACCTATCTCAACCTTTCTACTTACACTGAGCCTTTATATCTTATTTATTTGATATCTCTACCTGACATATTAAAACCTGACCTTATGAATTTTCTCTGAAACTCATATTTCTGCCTCCAAATTTTAATGGTGAATGTGTAGGTAATTCACATCAATCATCCCATCAGCAATGGAAGAGCTGGACAAAAAGTATCTTTAAATCTCCTTAAATGCTTCAGAGAACCAAGAGACAATGAAAATTGTAGATCACCAAGATCCAGACAGAATGCAATTGAGATGTCTTGCTGTGGATACAGTTTCACAAGTGTGCTATAGTTTTACAAGTGTGTCAGATCTTACCAAGGGCACACTTTATCACATTCAGTTCGTGTCGTGTCCTTCAGTTGTCCCCAGGGAAGGTGTTAGAAAGCTTGGAAGTGTCCATTAGGTTACATTACAAGAGCTAACGTGACTGTGGCCGCAGGACCTCTGGGTGCACAGCCCTGGGCAATCATCCTAGAGCCAGTTTCCACTGTCATTTGTACCGACTCACCAATGCTTATGGCACACTACCCCAACTATGCTCACTTCGTTCTGTTCCAATGATCAGTTCCCTTTGTATTTGGAAAGGTAATTAAAGATACTGATGGGGAAACAGGTCAGTACAGAAACCACACTTTTAAGTTAGTATGTGACTGCTTCCCTTTACAGTTCTTGACTGACTCTGCCGAGATGAGCCGCTTCTTCAATCTTGCTCTGCAGACAAAAGCTTAAGACAGAGGAGTATGTGTGGTATTTTCCTCTGGCATTTTTCTTTCTTTCTTTTTCTTTTTCTCTTTCTTTCTTTCTCTTTTTCTTGTCTCTCTCTCTCTCTCTCTCTCGTTTTGTTTTGTTTGGTATCAGGGATCGAACTCGGGACCTTGCGCTTGTGAGGTAGGTGGAAGAACCACCAAGCTAAATCCCCAGCCCTCTAGCATTTTTCTAATTATTGCCTGCCATGAAAACACTAAACTGTTGTCATTTTAATTTGTAACAGTCTGTTACACCCTGCACTGGAAGAACAGGTGAACAAAATGAATGTCTCCCTTTCATCTTCTCAAGAAACCTTAACACCAACAGGAGCAATGCCAGGCAGGTGTGGGGATACAATGACAAGGAAAACTTACCCGTGCCCTGATCTTCAAAAGCTTCTCTTTATCTGTCTCAGTTCTCTTACTGGAACGCACTTGCAAGTCATAACTTCTCCAAGGGCTTCCACATTGTTCCCCTATCAGTCTGTACCAAGCCACATAACATGGCATTTTGTTTCATTTGAAAATTATTCCAATGTTTTTGTTTTGTTTTTACAATAAATCACAACTTTCATTTCATCACTGGTCATGCAAGTGCCCTAATTACATTCCACCCCACTGTGCACCTTCACTTCTCTCCCTCCCCAAGCAACCATCATAACACCACTGCAATACCTCTCAAGGGTGTCTCTGTCGGGAGCAATGCTACATAATTTTAGGGAAAAATCATTTGGTTAGCCTAGTTCTTCTTCCTACAGCCCAGCTATGGCATTCCGAGACATAATTCCATTTTGGTCCCCGGTCACAGCTGAGACCTCAATGATCCGGAGATGCTGTGATGCTCCAGGACAAGATTACACCAGCTGAAGACATCCTGGGAGGAACAAACATCTACTCAGTTCCTCCTTGATCTTGGATTGCTACATCTTATTTACGTGGATGTACTGAACTCTCTGCAAGTCATTTGTTACATTTGTTTCTCCCGATGTACTGAGTACTGAATAAAACGTGCAGTAAGCTGGGGGCTTTTGTCTTTGCCACCCAGAGCAGCACTGATCAGACCCAAAGCTGAGCTTCTTCTCAGTCTCATTTTTCTACCTTTCCTGTAATTCGCCTTGTGCTGCTGTGGTTCGCAGGAGACTAGGACTCACTGCAGAGGTTCTAGTAACGTCCCCTTTCCTTGTTCCCTACATGTCTTCACTCATGTTTTCTTGCTAAATGAGGGCTACCTTCTAGGCACATATACTTAAGTACTTGTAAATGGTATCATCTTTTACCTCATGCTTCTAGATGGCCATGTGTGTAGTACATTAATCCATTGTTTCTACCTGGTGCACCTCACGGTGTAGCTCCGTCACATCTTTCTCTTTTGCAAGGGACAGTACTGGAGTGGCCTCCGCTGTATCCAACAACTCTGCTACACTTGTTTTATGTATGTTACTTTGGCTTTAGCCAAGCTGTGTGTTGCCTGTGAATTAGTGTCATGTGTTCCTTCCACTACTCCTGTTGTGGCTTATGTATTGTTTCTGCTGCAAGATGCTAAATATTACAGTGAAATGGTGTATCATAGCAGTAAGGAGTTCTCAGTGCAGTTTTCCTGAGCTGAGTTTAATTCTGAATTTACCTCTCACTAGGTCTGGGACCTTGCAAAGTTGCCCTTAGTTACTCTGGGCATCTCTTGCTTCATCTATAAAGGTAGATAGTACCACCTACCTTAGTTGCTGCTATGAGGACTACGGGAGTTAAGTGATACTTAGCAGCCCAGGCCAGCCAAGGCCATATGCCAAGTGCGTAGTCCCACTTCCTGTTTCAAATTACAGGCATCTGAAGTAGTGCACATTTCTGAGTATTTTGGATGTAGGATGATTCCAGTACTCCTTTTATAACTGCTCCTTACCCAGTACCCTGTGGCATGTGAAATTCCCTGCAGTTATTCACCTACCCTCATAGGCAAGCTATGCTAGTTATATGCTAGTGTATGAATGTTTCTATTCCCACAGAATTGATATTGAAACTTAACCGTCATGCAGTAGTCCTAAGAGGCATGGCCTTAAGCTGGGCATGGTGGCACATGGCAATAATCCTAGGACTTGGGAGGCTGAGGCAGGAGAATCACTTTGAGTTCGAGGCCAACCTGGCTACACGGTGAGTTCAAAGCCAGCCTGATCTACACAGTGAGACCCTGTCTCAAAAAAAAAGCATGGCCTTCAGGAGGTGCCTGACTTATGAAAGGGATTTGGTGCCCTTATGAAAGGGTTGCTCAACCTGCACTTCCACACATTCCATGCCCTAAGGACACAATGTGGAGGACACAGCAACAAGGTGCATCTCTGAGGCAGATCAGCCCTCAATAAACACCTATTCTGCTGGGGCCTGGATATGGGACTTCCCAGGAAAAAATGTTCTACTCTATAAATATACGGTCTGTGATATTTTGGTATAGAAGCACAACAGACTGGGACATATGTTAAAAAGAAGAGTATGATTCCTTGGCTAGATATCTATTAACCCAGATTGCAAGCACATATTCTTAAATGTTTTTCAATTATTTTATTCAACAATATAGTATTATTAATCACTTTATGTAAGATTCATGACAATCTTTATTATTCATTACATGCTGAAAGTAAAGATGTATCAAAAATATAAGCAGATTGCTATGGTTGTGTTATTAAACTTCTCCCTCAAGTAGCTTAGAAACTGCAGGTGTTCCATTTAGTCATGTTTTTTCTTGAAGAATTTAAAATAAGAGGAGTCTGCATCCTGTAAGAGGAACAGGAATATGAATCAGTTTTTACTATGTATTTGATAAGACCTGCTTGTATAACCTTTAAATCTCTAAGTATTGTGGTTTTGCTTTTGCCCTACTAATTCATTTTCACTGTCCTGCAAAAAGTCGGAAGAAATTAAATGTCTAACAGGTGGATTAGATATTAAAGTGGATTTCTTAAACAGCAGTAGATTATACAATGAGAATATAGTATGGTTCTTTTTCATGATTCTCTTTTTCATACATTGAGCCATATTTCCTGGCTTATAAAAGATGGTAGTAACAAAGCATAGGGAAGATATGACTTTACTAATAAAACCATTCAGAGCAATAACCTTTCTTTGCATAATCACACGTTACAACTTTGGGATTAACTATTACACTTGCTGAGTTATTTATGGACTGAAGTCTCTGGTCACAGTTTTCTCAGAAACAGTTGATAATGTTGATCACTAATTGCTGTAAAAATGAAAGCTGGGTGAAGAAGTGGTCAGTCTTTGCCCTCAGAGATGGGCACAGGTACCTCCATGATGTGCAGAGTACTTGAGGAAGGAGGTAAGGGCACTAGTAGAACAGTCAATGTTATGCGGAAGCACACACAGGGCCAAGGTGCACCCAGTCCCAGGGAGAAGTGGGAGAGAAGGCAGGTGCCATTCATGGCAGTGACACCTGAACTGAGACTGCTAGGATGGGCAGGAGTTAGAAGGAGAAGCATTGGGGAAAGGGCTCTGTTGTGACACATATATTGGTCAAAGATTAAGTGTAAGAGAATAAAGGACAACCTTTCGATTGAAAAGTGACTTCTCCAAGACTAGTGATAATTTACTGTAATATATCAGATACCTATGCAGATAGAATACTTTGTATATTCTTTTTTCATATCATGAGATTTGTACCAAATTAGCAAGAAAGTATTTTAAGCAGCTTAAGATTTTATACTTTAAGATTAATACATATTACTAAGAAATATATAAATTGCTCTTACCACACCACTCTTAAAATTTTCAATCCGTTTCTTTCCTAACTTGCTGGTTATCCACCAGGCCCAGGTAGGCATATATTGCCACAAATACGCAACCAACAAAAAAGGTTGCTCTGCAATCCAAACCTCTGTCAGATCATTGGCCATGGTGATTAACATCAGCCGCACACAACGACTAGTTGCCATCTTGTACGACTGGTCTCCACCATTTCCCAGAGCCTAAGAAAAAATTAAAATGAAGTGAATGCTGAGTATCCACGCTAGCTCACAGAACTTTTAAGTTAGAAAAGACCCAAAAGCCATGTAGCTGTGTGGCCTCACACCCAACAGAAGTCACTCTACATACCAATGGGTGTTTATAAACTTTTGAAATATTTCAAGAAGGCTAATAAGAATCATACAAATACCAGATAACACAGTATGGGTTACTAAATGAAGTTTCTTTGCTTTTAATTATGACTGCATTATTAATGAGTACTTAATGCACATTTTAGCAAATGAAAGCCCATAAATAGGAAGACAATGGGATGAAATGGAAGGAAATAAAAAGTTTCTTAATAGTGAAAAAACCATTACATAATAGTGATGAGCTATTTTTAAGTGGGATCTTAGCATCTTCATTAGCCTTATTAAAATTGAGGGTCAAATACTACCAGCTAACTTTAATAAATTTCATAATGCCACATGTTAAGTGTTATCAGTAATTCATAAACAGTTCTTACTTAAAATCCCTGATACATATCGACAGAACACTAACATATAAGCAGCAAATCATTTGAACAAGTCTGCAATTGGAAACTTTTACCTTTGTGACTTCTTCACCTAGGGCATTGCTCACAACTTGTGACTGCACAGGTCCGGGGCAAATGTTAGAAACTACTATACCTGGATATTCAACAAGTTCAATTCGGAGGCTATGAAAAAAACCCTAACAGGGCACAAAACAGAAAAGTCAAAAAAGAAAAGCAAAGAAAAGAGGTAAATAAAACTGACAACTGACACATATCTCATGATTTATCAAAATATGCTCTAAAAGACCCAGGGAAGGGCCAGGTAGTGAAGCCATCCAAGCTCCGAAGGCATTTTTAACAGCAAGTCTGGAGGAAAACTGAAGCACACATTTGTAGCTCTTGCAGATACATTCCCTTGGCAGTCATTCTTGCCAACAATAACTTGCGATTTTATCGTCAGGAAGCACTGGACAGGCAAAAACTGTCCTTGAAGGTTCAGCTAACCCCCCACCCTCAATCCTCATGAATATGTGTTCCACAGGATTGCTGAGGGGGTTTTGTTTATTCTCCCAAGTGATCTAAAGCACCAGTGTTTGGGGCAAAGGCAAAAAAGCAGGATGAGAACTTCACAAATTCTATTCCAGAGAAAGTTTTCAACATATAAAATCCATTTTACTACTGTAACAGGATGAATTTCATTCAGAAAACATTTGTCTTTTGGGGGTGAGGAGTAGTACATGGTTCATTAAAATGAAATAAGACTACTGATTGATGATGACATTTGTAACAAGCTAGCCCTGCTAGTCTTAGATACTAGCCATTGCTAAAGCAACAGAGAGTAAATAAAAATCTTACTCCCCCTTACTTATCCTTCTTCTTAACTTAGGAAATTTTGCACGGCTAGGTTATAACTACTGAAAAATGTGTAAACAACTAATCAGTGGTGCATTTGATATATGACCTGACTACCTTAAATAGTTATCAGCCACCACAGGCTGACCTGACTCACACAGGAGTTATGAGGTTCATGTTCTCAGAAACTGACACAATTCCTGATTCATAAGTGCACTGAACAGAATGCTAGGTAAAAGAATAGAGAACTCTTGTAACTTTAACATTCTGCCCTTCTGTAGCAAAAGAGAGAGCACAGCCTCTAAGCCAATACATCAGACACTACAGCCTCTCCTTGTTAAAACTCTTCCAGTAAAGTGTGTAAACTTCTCAGTGATAAGTTCACACTGTACCTTGCTGAAAATCTGAGAAGGAAATGTGTTCTTCAAACAGAGCCTCTGGGGCTCAGTGCTGAACTACAGCAATAACTAACTAGGATCTCAACCAGCCACATTGTAGCAGATCAAGTGTAGGAATTAAACAGGGTGTCTAGGAGGGCAGGCCAAACAGCGCATCTGTGCTTTCCCAAAAGCATCCTGCAAGTCCTATGGAGACACTGGTTGCCAACAGAGGTATGCCAGCCCACCCTCATCTGCCTGCCCACCCTCGTCTGCCTGCCTGAGCTCTGCCCAATGCTCCACTGGGACTCACTGACAGCCCGTTCATTCCTCAGTATCAGGAAATCCTCAGGGCTGCAGCTACTTCAGCATTCTCTGCAACTGCCTGCTCTTTGCAGCACAAACAGTATTCCCTAAAGAAAAGAGCTTCAGTGTCCATGAACAATGATGACTATGAAGCTATTACATCTTATTATTTCCATAGTGAAACAGTTGACCAAACTGGCCTTCAACAATATTACATATAACATGTGTGTCTCCTTTAATCATTCTCTTGCCCTCTACTCTTAAACCAAGGTTAAAAATTTATTTGATTCAAACATTTTTACCTCATAAACTATATATCCCAAATCGGGCTTTTCTCCTAGTCTCTAGAGGGCTTAACTAGATTTTCTTCTTTCAATGAAACCAGAGAGAACAGAGTTAATGTTTTCCCAGGAAGGATATAAGGCAGAAGCACAGGAGGCAGTACCGAACTGTGACTGGCATGTATAATTAGACCAGGTAAAATAAACAGCAAGGAAAAAGGGGAAAGCAAAGGAGTATCAGAAATGGAGAGAAAAAATGTAACTGGAAGGTGTGCAGAAGTAAGGAGTGGGGGTCCTTCAGCTCACCAGGAAGACATGGAAGGTCAAGGGACGGGTGTAAGATGGTGTGTTGACTACACGTTTCTTATCTTGTATCATCAGCATCTGGTGATATGGAAACCTTGCCCATTGATGGCTCTCCATCCATACAACACATTTGGATCAATTCTAAGAGTTGAATTCAAGGTGCCTTACCCGAAGAGCATGTTTGCTAGCACAATATCCACTGGAAAGAGGCACAGATACAATGCCTGCAAAGCTATTCACAGTCACAATCTTTCCTTGCTTCCTCTCGATCATGTGAGGCAGAACACACTTTGTTAAGGACACTGTCCCTAAGTAGTTAAGTTCTATTAGCTCCTTGAAGACATCCATATTGGCATCCATGACCAATGAACGTTGGGATCTTCCTCCATTGTTGACCAGAATGTCAATCTAGTTAAATAAAATCAGAAAATGGGTGTTTGGGGGATGTCCTATGTGGACGGATGGTGTTCCTAGAGATGGCTGGTTATACTGCTAACATCAAGAATCAGTGAGGGCTGGGGATTTAGCTCAGTGCTTCCGTACCTGCCTTGCAAGTGCAAGGTCCTGAGTTCAATCCCTGGTACAAAAAAAAAAAAATCAATAAAACAATGCTTTGTTTCTAGAAGTCTGAAAGAAAAATATAAGACAACCAGAATTCTCCTACAGAATTTCCATTTTAATTGTTTATGGAAAGTTACAAATGTCATAAAAATAAGAGCAGCAGGGACTTTTTACCTTCTTCTGTTCTACGTGAAGGAATTAATAGTACTTGGTAAATCTGAAAAGTACTAATTACCTAAAGTTAAAGACTTAGAAATGAAGAGGCCCAACCCATAGGCCTGAGTATATTGCATGAAGCCCCATTTCCTGAAAGCTCTGCATGAGAGCTGCACACATGGGAATCTACTGTGCAGCTACTTCAGGACCCAAAGCAAATGAATTAATGCTGTACTGTTGTGAAACACTACTTACTCTACCAAACTCCTGGAGGACGGTTTTGGTAGCCACCTCATGGGAACTCCTGTCGGTCAGGTCCAGGGGCAGAACGAGGATATCTTTTCCTTTTACATTGCCGTTCTCTAAAGAAAGACACTTGGAAATTACTGTGAACATCGTGGCATGGTTCAGTCAAGCTCCTGGCTGCTCTCGTTAAGTTTAACCCCCACCCTCCACCAGGAGTTGTTAACAGAGTTGCTCGTGGGGGTCTCCTAACAGCTCCTCTCAGTGAACAGGAAGAGGACTAGTGGTTTTCATAGTGCTGGCAACACAAAGCTGGTGGCTTCACAGAAAATACAATGGCTCACTTCAATTTCAATAGAGACAGTGGGACATTAGAAGAGACGTACAGAAATCAGCACTATGCCATAAGCTAAACAAGGTAAAACGTGTGCAGCAGTTCCTGAAGCAGTCCGGTTACATGTGCTTTGCGATAGGCTCAAAAGGTTAGTTGCTCTTTCACAGACATTAAAAGCCTGCACATGATGGGCTGAGATGCAGCTTAACAGTACAGCACCTGCCCACCATGCATGAAGCCCCAGGTTTAATCCCCCAGTACTGCCAAAAGGAAAAACAAAAACAAAAACAAAAATTATATTCTTTTTAATCAGTAGGAAGCTTGGAGTACTACAATCAAAGGACACCTACTCAAAGAAGCGCTTCTGTATCAGCCAGGGACTGCAGGAAGTAAAGTAAGAAAAGGAACACAGACTCTTCCACAATTTGTACCTACAAACAAAATCTTGGTCTGTAATTGCCCTTGCTATTTCTATTCTTCAAAAAAATAATTAAAACTAATTTTCTCGAACTCTGACCATGAAAAACAAGTAATGCCAATGAGAAAAATAAGCATGAACAGAAAATATGAGACAAATGCATTACGGGAAGAAGAGAAAATAGTGAAACACCATGTGTAGTAGTAAAAAAAATGGCAAGGCTTGCGCAATCTTGCTCTCACCGCTGAGAAAGGCTGACAAGTTTGTCTTCTCTGCCAAAGCAGGACTTGCAAGTCACAGCTGCAGAGAAATGGCTCCCATAAGGAATGGTGCAGTACAAAAGCACAAGACACCTTTGAAGACAATATCATGAAAGCATTAAGTCTTGCTGAGGTTAATGGGTCAATGAACACTCTTTACTGAGTGGTTAGTTCAATCAGCAAAGTAAAAGGATATTTTAAAAAGCATGAAAGGTAGAGAAAGGACCAAAAAACATGATGTGCTAGAAGATCCAAAGTTATCTCAGTCTTGGTATTGCATGGTTTAGAAGGCCTCATGTGCTCACAGGCGGGTCTTTCAGAAGGTTCTGAATTATGGAAATGCTAGAGCTGATTTGCTGTTAGGTTTGGGTCTGGGTGATAGAGGCAGGTCACTGGGGTGTGATCTGGAAGGTTCATCTCTCTCCCTGGCTCCTCACTTTGCTCCCTCCTTTCTGGCCCCCATGACATGAGCAGCTTTCCTCCACCCAGGGCCTCCCCACCATGCTGCGGACCGTGCAAGGACTGAACACCTCTGAAACTGTGAGCCATAAAGAGATGCTCAGGAGTCTTTTGGAGTCCAGGGGTGGAATGCTATGATTTGGATCAAGAATATCCAGCAAAGGCGCCATGTATCCATAGTCAGGGCTTTGGGACCTTTGGAATGTGCCTGTATTGTAGTGGGATTATGGCTGAGGCGCTATTAGACGGTGGGGTCTGATCAGAGGAGGAGGGTCACTGGAGGGTGTGATCTGGAAGGTACAGCTTCCTTCTTCTCCTTCACTCTCTACTACTGGTCCCCAAGGCAGAAGCCGCTTTCCTCCACCCAGGCCCTTCCATCATGCTGCTGACCATGCAAGGACTCAGACTTCTGAAACTGTGAGGTAAAATAAACTTTTTCTTCCTTCATCTGTGAGTGTTGGATATTTTGTCCCGGCAACATATAATAACTTTTTTAAATCTGACCTTAGTTTCTATTTTGAGACACAGTCTTGTTAAGTTGCTAAAATGCCCAGGCTAGGATCAAACTTATGATCCTCCAGCCTCAGGCTCTCAGAGTACTGGGATTACAAGCATCTGCTACCATGTCTAATTACTCAGATTGCCTTTTTTAAACCATAGTTCATTCCCAGTCTTTTATCCTATATAAAAAAATTCTTATACCATCCTGTTATGGTTTGTTTCTAGATATGTGCCCAAAACTTCATGCAGACTTAGATGGGGCTTTTCCAGAGGTGGTTGAATCTAAAGTGCTGGGATTAAGGGTATGTGATTACTAAATCAGTCCACTGATTGGTTTGGCACTGGCCTAATTCTAGTAGCCTAGATAGAATATAAAAGTGACAGAAAGTTGTCAAGTCCACTTAAAATCCAACAGTACTTCAGAGCACTGGTAGTTAAGAGTCAGTACACAGCATAGAAAGATGGCAGAAAAAAAGGAGAAGGCAAGGGCAGCTACTTAAGGACAAAGGAGAGGGTCTAGGTCAAGGCACATGGAAGGCTTACAGACAGGTGTGCTAGCTGGAGAATTCCCTCTCCAGTTCCCAAAGCTGAGCCTCAGTGTGGATACGGACTCGTTGGCAGGAAGCAAGGCTGCTGCTTTAGGGTTACTCACCCAGGCACCTGCTCTTCACTCTCTCCAGCTCATGCTGTCTTCTGGCTGACAGCACGAGAGAAGCTCCTTGTTTGGACAGCTGGTAAGCCAGCTCCTCGCCAATTCCACTGGAGGCCCCCGTCACCCACACCACCATGCCAGTCAGCTCCTGTTCTGTGTAGGAAGGAGGAGGGGTGGGGGAGTGTGATGGATTATGCCCATAAATCAGCCGAGCATCAGCATACAAAACTTTACACACCACCAGGGAGTATGAAAACCTAATATGTACAACATAAAATTTTGAAGACCTCAGGGAAAAAATTTCTAATTTTAAAGTATAAAGACAAACCATGTTAGTAATAATTTTCTATATAATAATTTATATATTTCAGAATCTTGGTGAAATTTCTAGTTTTTACTTCAAGGAAAGCCTTATAATTCTATGACTTCATCCCAGTGCTCCATTTATCTATATGTTTGATAAAAGTAAAGCTAAGTGGATAGAAAAACCATTGCCTGGACTCACTTTCCTTATCTATTGAATGGGAGCTTGTTGGTAAAAGTCCCACCCAGCTTTCAGCTCCACCTTCACATTTCCTGGTACCAGGTATTGATGAAAACTCAAGCGCACCAACCTCTGCTCTATGTCATGATGTGACCTGCCCAGTCCTCTCACCTGTGTCCTGTCTAAGGCCAACACAGTGGGTCGCTGCTCCTCTCCTCATGTGACACACTCTCAGTCACCTACCTGTCGAAACCCTCTTCCCTGGTTCCCCTGGGTCATGGCTCCTCGTGGACAGCTTGGCCCAGAGCACGAGGCAGTATTCCAGGGTCTTGGACAGCCCTGAGCAGCCGGAGATGACTCAGTCCATGCCTTGTCCCCTGGAGCATATGCTCTATGACAGATTACCCTATGGCAGGTCACTGCTGTGCCCAGGGCCCCGGCACAGAGCCATCGTTTACAGTTGTTTAAATGCCGCCCAGAGCAGCCTGGGCTTCTCCAATGTCGTCTCACAGCTGACTCATAGGAGGCTTCTGTCCACTTAATCTATGTTTTCCTCTCATGTGCTGTGCGTGTCTCTTTTTGGGCCCGGTGCAGGAACTAAAGTCAGTCTCACTTTGATCACACCATGGGAGATACATGCTGAGAAACACAGAACGACTCCAGAAGAACAGAGAAGAGGCAGAAAATGCTGGTGGCCTCAGGAGAGGCATACTGGGAAGTGGGAGAAATGTGCATGAGGGTTTTTTTTAAAGCGTTTTAATTATTGAATTGTTTCATTGAATTAATTATTGAATTTTGTGTTTTAATTATTGAATTGCATGAGTGTAGTTTATGTTTTTTAAAATGACAAAAATAAGTCTATACAGACATCTAGGAGGGTAATTTCTTTCTCCTTCCTTCCTTTCTTATGTCCCTCCATCTGTCCCTTCCTTCCTTCCTTCTTTCTTTCTACTTGGTAGATTCTGGCCTTAGCTATTTTAGGAATCTGAGTTTATTTCCATGTTCCTTTAATTTTTTTTCTTTATTCCCAATCCCAATAGGAGTCATTTTAGAATTTTTCCCCCTAAAACTTAACTCAATGGCATTTTAATTTGATATATGGTACATCCATCTTGTACCATATGTATTTTATATTTTATGGATAAAGAAGATTTATAAAGCTTACTTTTTAGTCAAAACCTATTTAAGAATGACATTTTATAATTGTTAAGTTATATTAAAATGCAAGAGGTATTAATATTTTTATAATTATTTGCTAAAAAACTTTTAATTTTACTGTTCTTAGATAAATGGTAATGTACCAGATTTATATAAAATTTGCAAACTATGTTACCATATTAACGGAATGGAATTACATTTAACATTCAAAATTTTTTCTTCAAAAGTAAAACAACTGGGGCAGGGATTTAGCTCAGTGATTTCGTCGCCTGCTGCACAAGCGCAAGGACTTGAGTTCGACCCCCAGTACCAAAAAAAAAAAGTAAAACAATTGGAAAAATTAAGTGAATTTCTTAAAAGTTATTTTATTGACCTTAACTTTTAACTTTTGCATCTTATAAGAAAACAACTGAGTTCACAACCTGCCATATATTTAGTTAAATATTGTTATCAATTTACTTTCGGTTATAATTTGATGGGTTAAGTTTTGGATAATTACATAATAAAATATACTCATTTCATTTTTTTCCAGTCCAAGTTAACCCAAAAGAACTAAGGATCAAACACAAACACCCACAAGGCAGCAAATAGGCACAAGCATTCCACTGCCCAAATTGTTGCAATCATTAATGAGAAAGACCTACGTTAACAAAATCGCAGTGTATGTGGGATTCCTGATTTATGAAGAGAGAGGGGCTGGGCGTGTAGTTCAGTGGTACAACACTTGCTGCGCATGCTTAGCCCTGCACCTACGTATCTGCTACTTTTTCAGTGCTGGCCTTGCATATGTGTTATGTATTTTCTGTGAATACACCATAGTGCTGCACATGTTATACCCAAGGAAATTGAACCTGAGAAATGACATACCCAGAAAAGATTTTGTCTGGTAGGACCAAGGGGCACAAAACATTGTCCTAGCAGATTTTTTTTCCAGTCCTGAGAACCAATTTTCTCCAGCCATGTGGCCATTTAGACAACATGGTCTATCTTCTGACCTACTAGCTGTATAACTTCCCAGCATACTTCATCACATGCTTGGCTGACAATGCCTTCTTTATAAGACTTGTCAAGCTCAGAGGTTATGTTTCTAAAGTGATGTGCACGCCCCTCCGAGCACAGAGCACTTAACAAATGAGCAGGCATCTGTATTATACATGCCTCACACATGAAGCAAGGCATAGACAAAAAAGGGAACAGCAGAAAGTCCCTCAGTGTACTAAGAATGACCCTGCTCCAGACAAAATGTCAATTCAGTTCTCTCCACTGGCTCACCTTTACTCTAATGAGTAGATAGACGGCCGACTCGGACTACCTCAGATTTCAAAACTAGAGAGCAAGAAGTGGAGGATAAACAACTTCAGGAAGAAGAATCATTGAGCCTCTCAGGCTGACCTGGGGACACTCACTGTTTCTCAGTGTTCCCTGGATTTTGCACCTGAATCCATGAAAGTCAGCAGTCCCGGTGGTGCGCCCTGGGACTCACCACACGTTGGCAAACCCCAAGAGGCTCCTAGGCAGGAGGCAAGTCCTGATCATCTTCCCACCAGGACTGACAAGAGCCACACTGCTCCTCAGCCCGGCCCCTTCCTCCCAGCTCGTGGTACTGGGAAAGGCTCAGCCAGGCGACCCAGAGACTTCAAGCTACCCCGAGGGAACAGGACAAGGGCCGGCCGGCAGAGGTGCAGATCTGCACCCGGAAGCGGCCGCGCGGGTCCTCACCTGGGCGGCGGCCCCGCCACTCGGCCCACAGCAGGGTCAGGTCGGCATCGGCCCGGAGGAAGAGCCGGAGGCCGTGCAGGAGCAGCGCGCATAGCGCCAGCAGCAGGAGGAGCAGCACCCAGTCCATAGCGCCGCGGAAGACGGGAATGGATCACTCGTGAAGCTGGCCGAGCCTAGAGCAAATGCACCGCCTCCAAGCCGCGCCCCGGCCCGGAAGCGGCCCCGCCCCAGGCCCCGCCCCTTCCCTGGCCCCGCCCGCCTTCCTGGCTCGCCTAGCCGAACTGTGTAGCGGCGGAGTCACGCGCCCAGCGCCCAGTTTGGTAGCAGGTGGATCAGCCGGTGTTCACAAACAAGTCCCTGGAGAAAAGGCAGGGACTAGGCGGTTACTGGGCGGTTGTTCTGAGGCCAGGTACTTTTCCAGGCTCTGTTTGTGCCTTGGGGAGAAACAAGCCTTCTAATTCTGAGCTCTGCCCATGCCTTCCTCTCCATAGCCAACCCCTTCCTCCAACACTTACCTCCCCACCTGAGGAAGATCTAACTCAGACCCTTGCACATACAGGCAAAGGCTCTGTCAGTAATTGAGTTATACCTCGGCCCTGCCTCCTTTATTTTACTTTTAAATTCTATTTCTTTTGACTTTATTGATTTTGTAAGACCGAGGGCCTTACCAAACGCTCCGAGGAGCTGACTGCAGCGAAGAACACCCGGGAAGGAACACACCGGACAAGTTAGAAAGTAAAACAGACCTTTATTAGTCTGGAGAGATGGAACTCCCAAAGCAAAATAGCTTAGAGAGGCAACTGGCTCAGAGTACGAAGCTGTTTTTATAGGGGGTCGCAGGGGAAGTTGGCAAACAAATACAAAAGTGGAGGAGAGAGAGAAAACAGACCGCCGGGGAATTGGGCAAGCAGAGAAAACACAATACCCACAACAGACCTTCCTGGCACAACAACAAACACATCTCTGGAACTTGATGTCTACCTGGTGAGCCGTAACAGAAGCAGAAAGTTGGGGCCCTATTACAAAGATGGAGTAACTGTTGTTCAGTCTTACAATTTTTAACTGGGTAAACCACGCAAAGCATAGATTAGTATATGTGCTGCCGAAGAAAGCACAACGCAAAGCATGGATTAATGCCACCACCACCAAATTAACCCATTTTCCAAACTCATTTGGCCCCTGTCAACTGAAGTTTGGAAATCACGTTATGAAAGACACTTGACTGTTGAACTGGAAAGTGCAGTTTCAGAGTCTATTTGAGGTCTAGGGCAAGGAGTAGGAGCCTTGGAGCTGAACCCAGATGTGGAGTCCAGGGCGGATCCCCTGGCACCCTGGTAAATATTTATATTATCTATACTTACAAACAATAACATAAAGAGGTTCAAATGAGAAAATGCTTATGAAGAGCAGCGTCTTGTCTGCATAATTATATTCATTCTTTCTTTTGTAATAATTGGCATTAGTTATTTCTATGAATTGTTTATTCTTTTCATTGTAATGATCATTTCTTGGACTCCAACCTGAAAAGGAAGTACACTTCATTAATATCTATATTGTGCACAGAGTTCCCCTTGCCTGTGAAAGCAGTAAAAATGTTTAAACTGTTGAAACAGAAAGACATTCGTGTGATCTGGCTCAGGGTGACTCCAGGTAGATATGAATTAGCTAAACTTTGATTTCTGATTGCTTAATCATATTACACATGGAGTAATATCACTCAAGAGTTGCACAAGCTTTTGGGTTTGTGGGCAGTATTCTGATATTCTGTAGGCTGACAGGATCTTATCTAAAATCTTCTGTTAATATAAAATTAATTTTGAGTCTGGAATGTCTGGGAAAGGTCCATGTGTTAATTAAAAGCTTAATCCTGGCCCAGAGATTTAGCTCAGTGGTTGTGCTGCCTGCCTCAAAAGTTCAAGGACCTGAGTTCTATCCCCAGTACCAAAAAAAAAAAGCTTAATCCTATCTGTGATCTTTAGTTATCTCAACTTGACTAGATTAAGAAGTGCCTTGCAGTCTAGTAAAACACAGTTCTGTCTGTGTCTGTGGAGGTGGCATATAGACAAGCTAACTAAACTAGAAGACACACCCTGATGTGAGTAGCACCAACCAATAGACTTATAGCCTGGATGGAATTTTATAAAAAGGAAAAGAAGGAAGTTTCTGTGTTTTGGAAGTGGTCCAGTCTTAATGGGTATGTCTTTTCAGTCTCCAGTATCTTCAGCATGCCAAAGCAGATTCATAGCAGCTACTCTCCAGTGCGCTTCCAGACCTTTGACCTTGGATTACTGTTGCATTCTTGATCTTGCTTGTTCTGTGGATTCTATCTTCTTGGCCTGAGCAGCTACTGGATCTTCTCTGTCTGCAGCACATAGCCATTGTGCATTCTTGGATCCTGTAACCTACCTAATAAATCCCCTTGCATAACTATTTGTATATTCTAACAATTTGGTTCCTAACCACTCTTGAGAAGCAGTACAGAGACATGAGACGGATGGTGGGAAAGACTTGGCAAATGATAAATCTCTAGATTCTCAGACTGCTCTCCCATTTCTGTGATCCATCATGCATGCTTCTTGTTGATACTTGTGTTACAAAATTATTTCTTTTTTTTGTTCAAGTAATTTGAATTACATCACCTTCAACAGAGACTTACGTGATATATTGGGGTTTTTAAACTTTTACTTTATTTAGAGATTGAAATTATAACTTTCATTTTATTATTTAGCTTATTATTATTACAATTATTTGCTCAATTTCCTCCATCAGACTTTTTTCTTTTCTACATTTGTATCAGCATTAAATCATGTGCAGAAGAAATAATATTTCTTTGATCCTAAATCGTCCTCCAGTTATTGTTCCATTTTTCCATCTCCCTTTAAAGCAAAATACAAGTTATCAATATGCATTCTATTTCACCACCTTCTTTCTTCAAGTCATACCAGTTAGGCTTTTAACCCTACTATTCTACTGAAACCACCCCTACTATTATCACCTTGACATATTCAATGCTCCCTGGTCTGTGTGCTTGGCCTCAAGGACAAGTTATATCCTTGTTGTCCTCTTATTTCATTGATGGTGACTACTGAGCCTCCATTGCTGGCTTCTCCTCTTCCTCTTCCTAAACTTTGAATGTTGGAATACCTAGGACTGTCATTAGCCCTCTTCTCTTGCCCTCTATGTGTTCCAGTGATTTCTTTTTGTATTCCAGTTGCACTCTGATGTGCCCCATAGTGTGTTCCTGGCATTGACCTCTACCGTGAATTCCAAACAAACATTCTCACAAGTTGTCTAGTACTCATCTAAAATTTAAAATGTTCAAAACAAAACCCATGTTTTCTTTGTTAACTTTTCCTACTCTCAGCATTCTCCCATCTCAGTAAATGACATCCTAGTTGTGCAGCCCTCAAACCTCAGAATCATCCCTAATAGAATGATGAGTGGAATTGTATTGCCTTAGAACTGGCAACTAGAATGAATTCCGTGGAAAGCCTGTATTGGACAATCACTTCTAAAATGGGCCACTCAACCTTCTGCTTATTTATAGCCAAAGAATCTGTTTCACCACTCCCCAGTATGATCCAAAGAGATCCCTGTGCCCCTCATTTGTCCAAGAAGGAAATTTTTAGAGAGAGTGCTGATAAATCAGGCAGTGAGTCAACTGGCATGCATGAAGGTTTTTTTCTTCTTCTCATGAAAACTGAAATGTAGGGAGCTCCTAGGTGTTAGAGTACCTGCAAGCAGGGAGACTGGCTGTTCATCTGATGACAGATTGGAGCAGGAAAAAAAAAAAAGAAAATGAACTGAGACAGTAGTGTGGACAGAGGGACCATCATGATGTTGCTTACAGGATCAGTTCTAGGTGTGGCAAAGACTCTAGAATTCACCACCTCCCATAAGGTCCATGAATGGAAGGTATCAAGTCACCACAGAGAGCTAACAGAGGATCAAAGAGGCCCCAACAGTAAGGCTAAGGGTATGGAGCTGAGAGGTTTGAAGAGAAAATTAAAATGGTTACCACTCAGCTCAGGGTTCTTTTCTTAAATTTAAGGTAGAAATCACAATGATACAAGCATTACCATTCAAATGACACTTTACTGAAGCTTATGCTTGTTCAGAAGGAAGATAGCACAGAAGGTAGGATTCCTAGATTATGTCTGTGAGGATGAAGGAGTAAATCTTAAATTTAAAAAACATGGTTTGTGCAGGTTCACAGTCAGCTATTGCACATGATCCCAGAATTTCTGCACAGGTATTTTCAGTTCTTTGCTTTTGACACCCAGGTTTGCACTTCACATGCAATCTGCTTATGCACATTGAATCTGTCTGCCCTCAGCTCACAAAATATGGTAGAAGAACTTGACCTAGGAAGTTCATATATTATCTAAAATAAGGCATTCTATGCATGCAGGGTTTCTAGAAAGCTTGAGGGTTTAATCAGTACAGCTTCTGAACCTGGGTGGAAACATCTTTCAAAGAGGGTTTACATAATGAAAATGAACTTTGGTGGGGAATTAGGGCCCTGTCTCAGAATGCATATTCCTTGGCTCCCCAGGGAGAGAGTAGGGATCTCAGAATTGTTCCAAGAGGAGATAGTGAGAGATAGCAACTGAGCATGCGAGGGAAGGGGAGGAAAAGAGATATTAGTATTAGAGATATTAGATCACACCCTGGGTGATCATATCCCAAATCTGCCATTTCTTACCCCATCCATTCTTAGTACCCTGACCCAAGCTGATATCACTTTTTTTTTTTTTGGTACCAGAGATCAAACTCGGGTCCTTGCACTTGCGCAGCAGGCAGCAGAACCACTGAGCTAAATCCCCGGCCCTGATATCACTTCTCCATTGAATCGCTGCTGTGACCTCTGATCTCACTGCTTCTATTCTCGCCTTTTTCTCCCATGTGTATTCTCTACTCAATAGCCAGAGTTATCTTTTAAAAGCTTAAGACAGTTCTCTACTCAAAATAACTTGGAATAAAGGTTCTGGATGTAACTCAGTGGTACATGTACTGGAGTGTCTCCCTGAGTGTTAACTCAGGGTCTAGCATGTATGAGGCCCTGAGTTCAAAACAAGCACTGCCCAAAAAGAACAACAAACAGAAAAGCCTAAAAGGAGCAGCTGATCTGTTATATTCCTGTAAGATAACAGTTTAAGTAACTAGTACATCAACCATGGGAAATGAAAAGAGAAA